TCCATGTGTTCCTGTGAAAGAAGAGTGGGGGCTCCATGTGTTCCTGTAACTTTTCTATCATTCTGCCATTTTATCTAAATAAAAACATAAAAATTGTTTTCTGTGAGCAGCTATCTGTTGTAGGTTCTCTGGACCTGCTTGTGAGCACCCGTTAACTATAGAAAAGGAAAAGCATCCCGTCACCTTCTACCTCTGCAACACTGTCAGAACCATGAGACCAGGGATGTGCTAAATCTTGAAGGATGAGGGTGGAAGATAGATGTGATTTTCAAAAACTGTTTCAGGAGATGCACAGATAATACACTGGTGATTGCAAGGATAGCTGTTTTCATCTTAGTGGAAAACAGGCCATGTTATGCCTTGGGTGTTTTGCCAAAAGTATGGACAAGATGGCTGAGTCAGTAAAGTGATTACAAGTATGGAGTGGAGCATAGTGGTTCACACTTGTAATCCTAGCACTTGGGAGGAGGAGTCTCCAAGGTTCAGGTTCACTGGCTAGCCAGTCTAGCCTGTTGGCAAGTTGCAAGCCTTTCACAGACCCTGCCTGGAGAACAACAAAAGGAGGATGCATGTAATGAATAGCATCTCTGGCTTTCCTATGCCACACATTCTCACACATGGAGCTGCACATGCGCACACACAGAGCAGGAGCAGACGCTGGGTCTAATACTGGGATTGCATGTAAGCCTCAAATCATTTACACTTTCCATTCATTGTTGGGAATGGAAGACTTCTTTCAGCATTGTAACGTCTTTCTTCTGAATCCTACCATTGGCTGCCCCTTCCCAGACCTGCCTCACCCTCAGGCATGAAGGCATAACATTGAAAGTGATGCTTTTATATTGGCCTAGAGGAGCAGGGAGATGGATGAATAGCAGGGCCTGCTCCAAATATTGATGGGTTTAGACAGGGGTCCCTTGAAATTACTCAGTTAAGAAGCTACCTAAAGCAGACTGTACTTGAAGGCCTCGCTGAAGTAAATGCCTACAAATAGCTCTATGGAGTCTCGGTTTGATTTCATCAACACAAAATATTAGTCAAGCTGTTTTAGTGTATATGCTTGAAAACATAGTATGAATATTCTGTCCATGTGGTTGGGGTAGCTTGATAGATCGTGTGTTACGCAGCTTCTCGCTACTTTGACACAAACCCAAGAAAATCTAATTGCAGAGAGAAATGGTTTACTTTGGTTCATCGTTCTGAAGGTCTATAGGGCCTCAGCTGGGGAAGGCAATTCATCATAGTGGAATAACATGTTGGAACCAAGTGTTCATGTCATAGCTGGGAAGTGAAATGCAGTGAAAAGAGGAAAGGGAAAGGGTTCCACTGTCCCCTCAGGCATTCCTTCAATTGCTGACAGATCTCTCACTGTCCCCACGTGCTAAAGATTTCACCACTTGCCAGCTGGGCCTCGCTGGGGACTAAACCCTTAACTTATAGACCTTCGGTACATCCCAGTCTAAACTCCTGCAATTCCCGGCTTGCACTGAATTGTAAAATAGATTGATTTCACCTACTCACGCACTATGGTGGTAATTCACCTTTTGTGCGAGTCGGACAGTAGCGTGAAGGGCTAAGTGGCAGTGGGGCCCATCCAAGCTACCTCTGTTTCCTAGCCACACACACATCTATTGTGATGAACCCACATGGCCCACATATTTTTTAATCTAAAATTTTACTTTCTTGCTCATGTCCAATTCTTTAAATTTGGCATCCCTATAAGGAAATTTTAAAAAAGTCTTCATAAAAGAGCAGATTTTAAACTCAAAACTTTAAGTAAAAGGAAAAATGTGATAGTCTTGAAAACAAATTTCCTCCATTATTGGGGTAGATTTGCTGCCATCATAATCCAGTTACTTTCATGAATTGTTAGTGTGTTAGACTTAAATATAGCAGTTAAAACCAAGACAAAATTTAAATGGCAGATTTAAGACTTAATCTAAGATGTTCCATAAAAAGACTGTAGAGAGAAGTGTTTTCAAGCTTTAAAAATTTTTTGAACACATGATGCCAAAAAAAGAAACTGTAAGTGAATCTCACAGAATTTGAAGAAAATTGCTTAGCAGAAAATGCCTGCGTGTGCCCAAGTCCTAAAAAGCCTGCTAAGATGTTTGTTTATTCTGAAATGTTGCCAAGCCATTCTTTATGGTAGAAAGAATTATGGGATAACTCCAGAATAAACTAAAACAAAGCAAAGCAAAGAAGAAAAAAAAAAAAAAACACCCACTATTCTAGAAACTGGACAGAAGAATGTACTAGGAAACCCACATGGTAGGAGAAGAAAAGTGGAGTTCACATAAAAGTTGCGGTGATGGCAATAGTGGCTGTGGATTTTGTACCTTTATAAATATTGTTGCAATTTCCAGTGACTAAGGCTTCATGGCTTTCGGCAGTCTGTAATCATGTCAGCTACCCTCCAGTCACATTTCACAGGGCATTGTTATTAGCTTTAGAACCTCTCCTGCCTGATTGGAAGCTTGAATCCTTTGGCCTATACAGACACACACTTATGTGGAGGTGCCCTCTGTGAGCAGAAACCATACATATCATCCACTTTTGCTAGTGGGAGTTTGAGTTGCAAGGATGCAAGGCATATCTGTCTCTCTCAGAATCCATCCAAGACCTCATAATGTGTCCATTCCTGTCTGTATATCCAGCACCACTCTGTCACGATTAACTGATGAGTCTCTAAGATGTTCCAGCTCGTTCCTAATCATCATTCACACCCTCTCCACACTCTTCTAGAGCATTCTGCATGCAGTATTCTAGGCTTTTACTAGCCTTTTCCTTCAAATTCCTTCATTCAAGAATACCAGTCTGTAAATTGCCTCTATCTTTGCAGGTACACTTAGAGTGACTGCTCCAAGACATGGTACCCCATCATCACCACAAACAAGGTGGGCAGCATAAAGAGAAGAGGACAGTTAGGTCATTTTGTATTGAAGAACAAAATGCTGACTGTGCTCAGGCCTCAAGCTGAGCATGGAGTGTTTGCAGGAGCAAAGTTAGGAAGCCAGACTGCTCTTTGTAGAAATTTTATATATGTTACATGTATGGATGTATTTCTGTGTACATGCCTGATGCCCAGGGAGCACAGAGGAAGGTTTCAGATCCCCTGGAACTGGAGCTGCAAATGGTTGTGAGAAGCCATGATGTAACATTGGTAGGAACTGAATCCACATCTCGAAGAACAGTCAGTGCTCGTATCTAATAAGGCAAACTCTCAAACCCCTTAGGTTGGCTCTTTTTAAAACAGCTCTTTCTCAGAATCAGCTACAGGTCCAATAAGAACACCTGTTATGTTCCTAGGTAGCATCCCAATGCTAAGAATTGCCTAATACTTCCTAGCTCTTAAGAATAACATCACCTCTCACATCATCTCGCTGATGCCCAAGTTTATAGAGCTTGAATTCTTTTGAGGTAAACCAAAGTACACACCACACACCTTTATTGCATTTCTATTGACCATCCAATCTTGACCAGAGCATCATGGAGCACTGACAACTACAGACTATCTTGGTCAGCAAGAGGAAAATCCAGGCTGGCCATTGTTCATCAGATATTTAACATCTCTTGTAAATCCTGGAGATATCCAAGTTCCTTCAAATTCACGTCCAACGAGCTCAGACTAAATGAAACGGCCACCTATAGTGTATGAAATGATAGGGTGAAATGGGGACAATCAGGGTGACCTATACAGTCTGCATCATTAAGTATTTATTGAAGGCTTACTCACTGCCAGACATTGTCCTACAGTTTGTACTGCTCATTATCTCAGCATCCCACATTAGCGTGAGCTTTATGGGCACTGTGCAGACAAGGTTCACCTGCAGCCAACACACACTGTGGAGTGCTTGGATCCAATGACAGTGACACATCTTTGTGGGGCAGCACCTTCAAGCTTCTGCAGAGAGACCGGAGTTCATTCTTCTCAGATCAAGTTGATATGCTCTCTGGCCTGAGTCTGTCAGCTGGTGCTCTTCCTTCATGCAGCCTGGAACCCATTAGCTCCAGAGAAAGAAGAAACACACCTGAGTTAAGAGCATCACACGTCCTTCCTATTATACACTTAAGTTGTTTACAGATGAGGCAGGCAGGGCCTCTCTAAAAAGGCACACTCAGGAAAAAAAAAAAAAAAAAACTTGCTATGTCTTTGCAAAAAAAGGGACATGCCTCTTTCTGACAGGTGTGGACTGGGCTGTCACCTGTCATTTTCCCTGGCTTAATGAAGAATCAGCCTGTTAGCAGACAACCAGGCAGGATGGCCATTTTTACTATGTTGATCCTACCAATCTACAAGCATGGGAGATTTTTTTTCTATCTTCTAAAATCTTCTTTAATTTCTTTCTTTAAACACTTGAAGTTCTTGTCATACAGGTCTTTTACTTGCTTGGTTAGAGTTACATCAAGATATTTTATATTATTTGTTGCTATTGTGAAGGGTGTTGTTTCCTTAATTTCTTTCATAGCTTCTTTGTCGCTTGTATAAAGGAAGGCTACTGACTTTTTTTTAGTTAATTTTGTATCCAGACACTTTGCTGAAGGTGTTTATCAGTCATAGTAGTTCTCTGGTAGAATCTTGGGGTCACTTATATATACTATCATATCATCTATGAATAGTGATATTTTGACTTCTTCTCTTCCAATTTGTATCCCCTTGATCTCTTTTACTTGTCTTATTGCTCTAGCTAGAACTTCAAGTACTATATTAAAGAGATGTGGTGAGAATGGGCAGCCTTATCTTGTCCCTGATTTTATTAGGAATGCTTTAAGACTTTCTCTCAAAATGAATATAGATCCATAGTTATCACCCTGCACAAAACTGAAGTCCAAGTGGATCAAAGACCTCAACATAAAACCAGACACATTAAATCGGCTAGAAAAAAAAAGTGGGGAATACCCTAGAACTCATCAGTACAGGAGAAAACTTCCTGAACAGAACACCAACAGCACAGGCTCTAAGAGCAACAATTAAT